ATTGCTTAAATATTTGTATCTTCATGTAAATACAAAATCATGCCGACATAAGCAAACAGTTCGAAAAACCGCAAACAAATGCACAGACGGGAATAGATACAAGATCTGAGATACACAAATAGGCTATACACTGGCAATCGATGAGGGGGATGAGGGGGAGAAGGGGAGAGGGGGGCAATCTTCCAGTGCGTCGGTTCAAAGTCCCCGCGATAGGCAGGTCCCACGCCAGCCGCGTGTGGCAGACCTATATATATAACATATATATATATATATATATACATGTATCTGTGGCCTATGATATATATTTATAATATAAACAAACGTTGCGATTACGAAGAATTCAACAAGTTTCAATAACCTCGCAGCGTATTAATGTTAAACAATCAAAAGAAATAACAATAATAATATCATTTGCGATAAACAATAAACAAAAAAAACTGTCTGATTTTGTGACTGGGGAATGTCGTGTGTCCACTTAACAGAGGTTTCGTGTTGCGTACAGTAAAAAAAAGCCGGACGGATTTGTTTTCAAAGGTTTCTATTTACAATCCAATCTAATATAAATCAAGCATTAGCTCGATATGATTTCGACAGTCTATAAACTGATGTTTTTTTCCCCCTTTTTTAACTATTTACGATATTTGGTAAATGCGCATTATCTGGCTCGACGGGGCTACCGTTGGCTTCTTATCAGACGCGTACTTCAAGCAGTCGCCAGTTTTATTGGGGCTGGCCATGCCCAGTTTTTATGGACAAGTGTTTTATGCCTGCACTTTGTGCACCTCGTCAGCTGTGCAAACTAATAAGAGGGCAAGGGAAAAGGGGGGCGGAGATAGCGCCAATTAGGCGTAAATCCACAAGATTTAAAAATAGTTACAATTCGTTTACATTATCGATAAATTACGACACAAGCTGTTAGCCCTGCCCCGCCCCGCACCCGACCCGCCCGCAGTTAATTAGCAAATGCATTGTAAACCATTGAGAAAGCAAACCTTTTGCTTCTATATAACGATTTACGGCACCCGGTGGGGAATTAATTGCGCTTTACATTTAACTGGAATACTGAATATTTTTTTGGTATGGCATGTGCACTTGCATTACAGCCAAGTCTAGGAATCCAGACCGAGACGACTTTTTGTTTTTGAAACATTTGTAAAAACTCGTTTATATGTGCTAATTTCTTTGAATATATGGTTCTATGTAAGTACTTATGTAGACTATATATAAGCACAGTAAATATATATATATCTCATGCATATACATTGAGAGAGAGAGATTCATATATTTAGAGCTGTGCTAATAGCAGGTCGAACCCGGCTAAAGGCACGATCTATTCGCGTTCTATTATAAAGTGTGAAAGACTTTAGACCGATCTCCGATCCGTTCAAGGTTCCGCTCGCTAGATAGATCATTTTTGAAAATCATATTTCTAGGAAATTTCTTTCAGTGTATGCCAGCCCACTCGCATCGTGTTTGTCCAGATAGTATACTATATCGTGCAGTGTCTATTTATGGACGCTCTGGCCAAGGTGCGGCGGGGCTCCCCGTACCGCCAATGGCAACTGCATTCATTCTACGGTCAATAAACAAACATCGCTGTTTTCCAGCTGGCCCATTTGCATGCCAAGGCGGCTCTCGATGTGGCATCATCAATTGTCCAGCCTTCAACTGGGGTACTCAGCACCCTTATTATCGTAGCGACTCGCCCTTTATATTTGGTGAATTGAAGGGTGCAGGGTGAAGGAAGTGGGTGCGGTTGCGGGGTACTTGAGTGACTCGCCTGCTGACGTCACGTGATTCGATTTCTTAGCATGCAAGTGGAAGAGTCCGAAGCGTGGACTCCGCTTATCAGTGGGTCGGCGTAATCCTAGCAACAGCGAATCGATCAGGCGCTCCATTGTCGTCCATTGTTATACAAGAGCAAGAAAAACATAATGCCATATAAATCAAAGGGCATTAAGTGCAGCGTAAGAGTCAATTAAGGAAATTGGCGTCAACAAATGCACCTCAATCAACCACAACAACAACAAGAATAACAAAAACAATTGTACATAATACTATTAGCTTGTTATCATAAGTATTTGTTGCTATTTTGCTTGGCATACTTCAAGCAGATGCTTCATTTACGACGCAATTGGGGCAGCATTTTATCACGTTTTCCGCTGGAAAAATCACTGAACCGTTCACCGAGCTGCCAGCGGTGACTTTGGCGCCCGTCGCCCCTCGCCCAACCGCAAGCCACGTATCCAATTTCTGTCTCAATTCGCCAGCCAATCAACACTCGCACGAGTAATTGGAATGAAACTAAAATTGCCTTTGAAGGGCGGCAGCAGCTGGTGCGACCGTAACACCTGTAACTGCAATTAACACCTGTAATTTGAAATTCTTTCGAAGACAGGAATTGTTAATAAATAAACTATTTTGTTTGAAATATGGCATTTTCGTATGTTGAATTATATTTACATGAATCCATTCTATCCATTCTACACACTATAACGGGTTCGGCCTTTAACCGGTTTAAGCGTAAGAAAAAAAGGATATGCGCTGTGAAGTGCCCATTAAAGAAGAAGCTTTTAAACGGCTTTTATGCTATTGCCGTTAACAGGCAACACACACGCCCAGAAAGTAGCTGCACAACAAAGACAACATTGTTATCCTTTCAGTTGAAGTGCACTTGAAATCCTTTGGCAGCGTGAAAAGAACTATAAAAATAAAACAAGCGTCGTTTGCAGCTGATTATGTAAGCTTACGTAAAGAGAGCGAAATGCGAAGAAGAGCGAGATGCTGCGAAAACGGCTACAGCGCAATTAGGCAGCGAGCGAGCGACAGTGAAAGAGAGAGAGAGAGAGAGAGAGAGACAGAGAGAGCTACTCCCACGTACATGGTATGTATGTATGTATATGAAAGTGTAAATGTATTTGTGATATGTACGTGCAGTTGCTTGTACAAAAGATAAATGTCAAAGGGCAGTTTGCACTAGTGACGTAGAAAGGTATCAGCGAAGCTTTTACACACCCCCAACGCAAATAACACACACAAACCGTTGCACACAAGCGACATTTTGACGCCTACGTCACGTACATAAGCCGCTGTCGCAGCCGCAGTCGGCGTCGACGCTGTGGGAGGCTGCCAAAGCATGAAAAACAAATTAAAATGAGAAGGGCGCACACAGAGGAATGTCAAAACGCTTGACGAAGGATACGCAAGAAACCAAATACATATGTACATGTTTGCGTTTAGCTATGTATGTATATAATATGTACACACTGGATCGTTGTCATGCCGATTATGGTTGCTGGGCACACACTAAGTGCCAGCGCCCCAATTGATGCTTAAAATAACAACAACACAAGGAATAACATTGACAACGACCAACGCACAGAGCAGCAGTAGCAGCAAAATCACTGCCATGGCCTGCGCGTCGCAATTGCAGAGCTAACCTTACACTGACCTTGAAGCGGAGCAGTAGAGCAGGATGGCTGTCTGCTCTGGAACAGCTTTGGCGCGCACATGGCAAGATAGCGAAACAAGCTGTAGTTATCGTCGGCGTCGTCGTCGTCGTTGTCGCGTGCAAAGAATCCAAAAAAGCAGAAAGAGAAAAATATAAAATAATAGTCAAGCGAAGCGTAGAACGTTGCGAATAAGCAGGCAACAGAGGAAGGGGTGGAGCAGCATAAACATTGTCAAATACATACAGAAGCTGAACGAGCATACACACACACACACGCGCGCTTACACAGATAGAACACTCAACTTTAGTTAGCCAACGTCAAGGGCGGCGGACTTGCGGCAGGACGGGTAAAGGGCAAGCTTTGCTTGTGCTATCACAGCGCCGGCCATAAATAGAGAACCATTAAGTAATCACTTCAAATCCCATAATGGGCACACACTGCAGGAGAATCTATTAATAGCTTCCCTTTAATGCTGAGTCCACACAATCCACTAAAGAGTTTCTAAATGTATGCACGAAACTGTCAGCTGTAGGCTGTTACCGCGCCTACTTCATTCTGCTCCCCCTTAATTTACTTCTTTTCGCTTCAACTTGTATACATATTTACATGCAAGTGTGTGTGTGCGCGTCTATGTGAAAATTATCGATTTTTGCAACCGCAAACTCTCAATTGGAAGAGTGTGGGTAATCATTATGCGGGCATCGCAAGTTTAATGCACAACATTTGGTTAATAATCAGCAAGTTATTAGAATTCACTTTTGTTTTTAACTGAACTAAACATGTATTGCATTACTTTTCCGTCACACGCTTTTTGTTGGTTGCTGCAGTTAAACTGTTTTCACACTAAGCACACAATGAAAAACTTTTTCAGTATATCCGTTTGCTTTTATCACTTCGACTTAGTTTATTTTTTCAACGTCCGATGGATTCAGAATGCGACTGATTCCTTCAAAAGACCGAATGAGAATGAACGAGCGCCTAGGACGAAAGTCGCATTTTCATACGTTGCGAAGAGCGACAAGTTCCAGAGCGAGAGAGCGAGCAATTGAACTGAGAGCTTTTACTGCCTAGCAGATGTTACGTACAAAAAGAGCCGACCAACGCAATAGGCATACAATTTTAAGCGGCGCTTTGTATTCCATGTCATATGTCAAGTGCCTAAAAGCATGTTTTAATAAAAATGTATAAAATGAAATATAAATAAAACAAAGCCTAATTTGGCCCGAGCTTATGCTATGACATTTTTCTCCCAAAAGTCCGTTACCCTAACGGATGCCTTATTGAAAGCTGATTGATACGCTAAACTATCGGAAAATATCGTATGAAATTATCGATGAATAATAAATGAGAGTTTTATGGTAGCACTGGCTGAAATAAAAGTACTTGATGAGTTTTTGATTATAATGAAATAAAACTATATGCTATTGTTGCGCTATAATTATTGCGCACTTCAAACAATAAACCTTTTGGCAATGCATTTCTTAATGGTTGTGCACCTTGCTATCGATTAGAAGTTATTTTTGGCGTATTGTCAAGCTGGTCACACTATCAGTCACCGGCACACAAGTCAACTCAGAACAGAATTCAATTCGGAAATTTCCAGAAAGCTAACAAAAATAAAGTAGATTTACAGAAACGAGAGTTTGTTATTTATATAAAAACAATGTCCGCCGACGAAGCGCAGTTCGACAACGTATTACTGGCCGTGGCCGAGAAGCATCGTGGCGGCGTGCCCGACGTAAGTATCTGCCTGAACCGAAAGCATGGGACAAAGGAACATGGCACTGGCTACGAATACCTTGTTTTCCAAATGCATATATAGCATCACATAAAGAAAGCGCGCTTGCCTATTATTTGGAGTATTTTTAACTCCTACCATGTGGCTTTGTTCCTTCCAACGAAAACAACAATCTCAATCGAGACTAAACCCACGTTTTTGCCATGCTTTTTTTAGTTTCTGCACACATTGGCCAGCTTCTTGCGTCGCAAAACCGATTTCTATACAGGTGCCAAACAGGCCGAGTGGGAGAAACTGCTGCTGGACGTGTTCCGCAAAGAGTCCCAGCTGGCCATGGCCGCCCACGAGGAGAAAGTCAAAGTACGCCAAGCGGCACAGCGTATGAAGGATGAGAAGGAGCGTGCCGAGCGCGAGGCGCGCCAAAAGGAAATGGACGACAACAAGATTTGTGATATAAGCGACGAGGAGGCCGCTGCCATCATCAAAGAGGAGGAGGACAAGTGCGTTACCCACAATACTAACAAAAGAAATTTAACTAAATTCTGACTTTGTCTTTGTTAGAAAACGACAGCAGCTGCTGGATGGCGCCGGCGGCGACTCGGCGAGTGTGACAGCCGCCAATGAAGACATTTCCAAGCCCATTGAAAAGGTCGAGGATGAGACCGAAAAGGATGAAATTGGCAAATTGAAGCCAAACGCAGGCAACGGCTGCACTCTGGATAAATACATGTGGACACAGACGCTGCAGGAGGTGGAGGTGAGTTTCGAGTCTTAAATACAGATATTATACATCTCTAAACTGAAATAACGCTAAAAATTCTTTTGGTTGACCTCCAAGTAATATTTAAGTAGCTGGCTTTTAGCTTTAATCCAAATATTTATATGCTTAAAAATGCTCATTTATCATGATATGCGATGAATTTTCGCTTTATATTTACTTAATGAATATTTTATTAATGTCAAAAACAGATATGAATATCAGAGAGATATAGAATATCTGAGAATTGCGAGATTAATGAGCATATGATAAAAAGCGATTGATGTTAAATGGATAAAGAACATTTTTCTTAAATTTCGTTTAGGCTGGATCTTTTCCATATTGTTGTTCCTTAGGCTGTTGTCAAGGCTTCAGTTTATGTTGTTGTTGCTAGGGCAACGTGAGGCTCGTCTGGGCAGGTGCTGATTGCCGTGTGTCAGTTATTGAACTCTCTAGTGGGCTGATGAGTCATAAACCAAAAGAATTTCCATCGTTTTGCTTACAATTTGCATACAATTTTAATTCTGTTTATTTGACATATCACAGGGCTAAATAACTTAATTGTTTAACAGAAAAGAATACATTCGCTTGTCTCTGAATACATATATCATATTTTCTGCTATACATATACATACACATATATACGTATTAGGTGTATATATATGTATATTTTGCTTTAACTACGGCATTCACTTCAGTATCGTTCATTGTCCCAGGGCTTTGCTGTGATACATTGACCATTAATTTAAGGCTAATTAGATGTAATTCGCTTAATACTAGCACGACGCGCGGGTCATGCAAAAATTTCGCTCTCCAAACGATTATTGTTCTTTTTCTAATTTTGTTTTTTTTTTTATAATAAATAACTTAAACAACTAGCACAAAAGACGATGACGACGCACATAACAATAATTGACACGGAAATCAAATAAATAATAAACTAAGAAGCCACAGAAAAGGGGTTTACGCCCAACCGAAATATCGCACGCAATTGCGTTAGCTCTTGGGCATGTCGCGGGCACGCACTGCAAAGATAGAGAGACGACAGAGCATGTTAGAAATAATGAGAAAGGTGGGAATCTATGGGGAATACTTACTCTCCAGTGCGTAGACCATGCCCATGATGAGCAGCATGAAGATGGTGCTCATGCTGACAATCAGCACGGTCACCTGGCGTCCGCGATCGCAGAGACCACGCTTGGGCTTCTTGGCGCCGCCGGGCTCGCCATTGACCATGGTGAAGTGCATCGAGCTGGCTATGGACACGGTGTCCAGGTCTTTGGTTCGTACGTACTGCAGATTGGGATCGGCATCGATGGGTATCACCGCGTCCTTGTCGTGGCTGGCCAATGCCAGATTGGCATTATAGTTGGCCGACGAGGAGCTATGGCCATGCACGCTGGGCAGCTGCTCCGACAGCAGCATCTTGTGCTGACGCTCCTGTTTCTTGTGTATCTCCGCGAACCGTTCCAGATTCGCTGCCGTCAGCAGCAGTGAGCCGGAAGCGGCGCTCTATACAGCACAGAGAGAGAGATGAGTCAGTCAAGAGTTGTTCCATGTGGGCGTCAAGTCTCTGGTTACTCACCCGTGTGCTGTTGTTGCTGTCGCTGGAGCCCTGCGAGGAGCGTGATCCACGCTTGGCAGCCGCCAGCACAGCCGCCGCAGCAGCTGCGGTAACCGCCGCGCTGGTCCCATTCGAATTGGTCGCATCCGAAACGTTGCTGCGCTGCGCCAGCGTTGGGGGACTTGAGTTCGATTTATTCGATGATTTTGATGAGCTCGCCGAGCTGATGGCCGAGCTGCTAGAGGAGACAAGCGAGGCGCGAGGTATGTGCCAATAGTCCTGCATCTGCAAAGGGCAGGGGCGCAAATAGAGAGTTAATAAGAAGGTATTAACTTTTAGATGAGAAATTTAATATATAGATTCAGCGCAAAAGCAACAACAATATAGAAGATCTGGGTTAGTTGGCATAGACTACAAATGTAGCCCGCTCTACTTGATAGTATTTTACTTTGAACTATGCTTAAAGTGGAAAAGATTATAGATCTTATATAATCCCTTGAATCATTTATAAATGTGAATGTTATTTTATTATATTGGGTACCATACCATGAAAGATACCTGATTTCTGCCTCATGTTCATATGTTCCTTTATTATATTGAGAACTTTAGTTTTTTTTATTACATTTTTGTCAAATATGTTTATCTCAAAGCTTAAACTCTTGTTTAAGTACATAACTAGCTGAAAGATAAAGTTCCTAAATCCCAGATCTTTTATAAGAACCTAGAACCCAGAACCTAGATCTTAGTTAATCTAGATCCTCGATCTTATATCTTAGAGAATTTAATCTTGTACGCAAACTTTCGTTTGCTTATTTGCAACTGCAACTCATTTCTTATGCAATATTTGATTTAGTTTTTCTAATTATCAAATGCCATTTTCTGCAGTCACATTTAAGGCCAGTTCGAGCCCAGTTCGAACCCTCGACTTGGAGTTGGTTTTGAGGCTTTTTTCTTATTTTATTATATTTGACTTTTTTTTCCCCCCATTTGGGTTTGAACATAAAAAGTGAACTTTCGAGTCTGCGAGCAACCCGTTTGATATTTATGGTCTGATATTTGCCTGGCACGGTTTAAAAAGGCAGATTCGTTGTATTCTATTATTTATTCAGCTAGTTTTTTGTTATTGTTGTTATTGTTATTAATGGGACTCCTCTCTGGTTCGGTTTTCGATATTTTGCCTTTCTCATTTTATTGGCCATTTGGAAATTTGCATTTGACAATTTGTTGTTATTTTAGCTGCTTTAATTGTTGCAATTAATTCTAAATTTGTTGCACGCACGCACGCACGCACACACACACACACACACACACACACACACACACACACACACACACACACACACACACACACACACACACACACACACACACACACACACACACACACACACACACACACACACACACACACACACACACACACACAATTGTCAAGTTCGTTGCCTAAGTCTTTTGTTTGCGTGCACATTTATTGGTAGCTTGCGTTGGGCTTCATTTATTTGTTGTATTTAAGCATATTGTGTAAATTATATTTTAAGCATGCGGAAGTCTTATCAGCGCTCAACATTTTTGTATACTTTTTTTTTTTAACTCGTTCGGCCAGTTTCCCAGCTGAACGGCAAGCTTTTGTAATTTCTGTTGTTACTTACGTTTTTTTCTGTATAATATGTTGTATTATATTTGGCAACTGTTCTTGGCTTATCTAAGTGTTTATCACACACACTTTTCACTTATTTATAATATCACAAAATATATATATATGGGTTTTATCTAGGCCAGTTTTCAGTCTTGGATTTTATATATAGAGATTTGCTGGGCCTGGGCACAAAACACTCGAACTGTGACACTTTTGCAGCAGTCGCTGTTTTGAACCGTTTTGCCAAATTCTTCTTATTTTTGTTAAATATGTTTTGTTTTCTTGATTGCCAGGCGACTTTGACGTTTGCTGTTTGTGCTTCTTGCTGATGTTTCGTAATGTTTTTTTGCTTTCAAAATGTTCAGCACGCGCCAAAAACAGAACCGATCTAAACGGCGTCAAGAATCAAACTGAAGCAAACGGCGCGCGCCAAGCAGCTAACAGCCCAGAGCAACGGCTGCTGTGGCTGCTGCGAGCGTCGCTGCTGACGTTCACGTTGACGTTGACGTTAACGCTGACGTTAACTTTAGCGCTAAGGCTGTCGACAGGTTGCTCTTGCTTGGATGCGCAAACTTTTTTTGCTGTTGTTCTCGCTGTCGACTTTCTTGCCGGATTTTTGCATGCCATAACAGACTTTGATTGTGCTATATTTACGCCCGAAACATTCTCTGATGAATTGCCGCTTGTGGCGTGGGCAGGCAACCCCATAAGTCCAGCCCAGTCAGCCGCCCGGCTTTGATTTTATATGTGCCGCGCTGTCACTTTGATGTTCTTCTTTTTCTTCTTCTGCTCGCCTCGTCTACTTTCGTTTGGCAGCCGAGTTCTCTATAAATAGACGACATCTCGTCGAAGCTGAGGCAGCGAACTCTGCAGCCCCGGGGGCATGTACATTGGCAAATTGAGCTGCAATTCAATTGAGTGTGTGTGTGTTATGGACTGTTGGTTAATCGCTTCTTTTATTTTTATATTTATTTGGACACGCTTCCCACGGCGCAACAATACATGGGCTGAAGGGCGCTCAGAGCGTGGGCGTCTTGTTTGCGGGTTTACCAGATCCGGCTCCAAAAGAGCAGAAGAAAAGTTGTTGTTGTTGTTGTTTAAAGATTAAATATTTTATATATATACTTTTTTTTTTGCTTTTATAATTGTTAAGGCTGCATAACACGCCCTTTTCTTGTTGGCCGACTGATTGGCACAGTTTCTCGTAAAAAGTAGAAAACAACAAAAATTGACGATCATTAATTCGGTTGTTGTGTTTTTTTTTTGTAGGATTCGCCAAACTTGGTTTAAGCGTATTTATTGAACATTGATATAGCCATTTGGCATACTAATATCAGCATTTAGCGTCAGATATCTGCACAAAAATGATAAAACATGCGTCGACATAAAACAAAAGCTGAGCTAAGATTGATTGAGGATAGAAGTATGATGTGCTGAGTCCAGATTGCAGCAGATCTATTAATGAATAGTGAAAACACTTGATTGCAATTTCAGACGAAAATATTTAACTAAGCTGCCAGCACATCAATTGGCTTGCATCAGAATGTACATGAGATCATTAACCAATTAATGGATCAATAATTGTTTATAAACATTTGCCACTTTGTCACACTGTGCCAATTGTTATGGCAAATAGATTGTTACACATTCTGTTTGCTTAGCTGCGCGCTGCGACAACAAGAACAACAATCATTAATTTGTATCCATTTGCAGCGTGCTTATATGCCCCTCGATCAAGCAGCTTGTTATCACCTTTTAAGTGAGACAAGTGAGTGGTACCCCCCACACACATGCCTGTCT